CGCTCTAACCGAATCGGAGTAAATCTACGAACTACATGATACCATCTAATATATCCCATACGAGGTGGTCGACCACCCAATCTGACCCAACACTATCCGAGTGCTAACCTATCATTATTGTCATCAGACAACATAGTTTTTGAATCGACGTATGAATTAAATTAGTAAACTATATTCGTCACATGGCTATCTCTGATCGACTCTCCTAACATCTACCATCATCGGACGAAAAAAGTCAGCTCCTCGGTCACATGCTAGATAGGACACACAAACACACATCACATTGCCTCCAATTCACCTGATGACACCGACATTTGCTTCTCTAATTTTGTATACGAAGCTCCTTCTTTTTCTCTTTTCAATCGAGAACGACCTGCAGAACCACTCCTTGAATGTATTACATTGACAAGCAAGACCGCCCAACGAGGCACGCTCCAGTCGACTACGATGCCACTGTAACGCACCCGAGCACCCTAAAAGAAACCAACCGATGCAACTTTCCCACCTTACTGACCTAAACTAGCAGACGCATCCGACTATGCTCATATTCTCAGAAGACACAAGCAACGAACATGACGGTTTGAAGAAACCGCATTTCTGCAATTGATCAGCCGATTCGAGGCTCCTTCAATATTCAACAATCCACTCTCCACCACCAACTGAATCAACCCTCCTGTTAGATTGTTGTCTTGCACAATGTAGTTCTTCCTCCTTTCGCTTTGTAGCCATATAGTTATTCCTCCTTCGTGGTGCTATCAAAAAGGAACACAGTCTGGCTGTGTTGTATCTTGATTGTATCCTGTTATTAATTGCTATATCGACCTTTTCGTAACTGCTTCACTTGGCTTTAAGTACTCTCATATGTTTAAGTAAAATTAGAGTATAACTATTAAAATATAAAAAGAAATGTAATTTGTACCTCTGCAACAAATTTATTTGACATCCAAAATCAAAAGAGGGATGATGTGCAACCCATTGACCCGATTTGCATTTGATAGTCCAAAAATAATGAGTTTTTGGAATATACTTTTCAAATGAATCCTATTAATTTTTAGACTATTTGTCCTTCAGAGTAGCTGAAAATCATCTTCAGGAAGAATCACAGTTGACTCAGTGACGACCCAGGAAGACTCAAGAAGAGTAATAGTAGTGCAGTCAGACAATATACTCTTTCTTATTATATATTTAATTTATAGTTTATTATCTGGCCACAAAATGCATAAGAGTAAGAGCAACCATTTACACACACAGGGGGGAGTTTGTTTTTAAATGCAAAATGTAATAGAATTTTCTCTCTAGAGATCGTACTGTACGATTTTAATTAGTACCGTACGATCCAAGCTATTTGGACGATTCTGTGAATAGATCGTACTGTACGAATAGCTTCGTACTGTACGATATGTTCAGATCCAAAACTCTAGCTGTACTTTAGTTTAAGTGATTTTGTACCGTTCATACTGTACGAACATTTTTGTACTGTACGATCTATTTTAAATACTTACTTAAATTAACCCGTAATTAGTGCTTGAAAGCGTGGCCTAATTAAATTTTGAACATCGTACTGTACGAACCTGATCGTACCATACGATGAACAGAGACGAAGTTTGATCGTCCCGGATATCGTCCTGACGATCTCTTGATTTTTGTCACATTGTACTGTACGATAATAATCATACCATACGATGAACAGAGACGACATCTGATCGTCCAGACCATCGTCCTATACGAATAGTATTTTGAGGATCGTACCGTACGATACTATATCGTACAGTACGAATAGTTTTTGAACTGTTCGTACATCTTCGTACCAGGACAACGTCTGTTTGTAAAGATCGTACTGTACGATGTTGAATCGTACTGTACGAATAGTAACGGCTACTTTTGAAATCAGAGGGTTTTTGGAGCCCATTTTAGGTGTTAATCTCGTCCTTTTTAGTAAGATTCACAGAGGAGGGAGAACATGGTTAGAGAGGGACTCCAAGGGAGAGAGCTCTAGAGAAGTTCTTTAGGGTTGAGAGAGGAAGGAGAAGGTGAGCATTGTGAGGGAGAAGAGGTGTGAGGGAGATCACACATTTGCTCCCTGCTTGCTGCATCTTGCTCCTCCTGTGGCCCTAGAAGAATTTGAGGGAGGATCTCCAAGGGAAAGGCTCGTCTACTTCCGTGACCTTGAGGTTCTCTGCCCTCTCCAGGAGGGAGAAAAATGAGAAGGTTCTCTGCCGTCGCCAGGAGGGTGAAAATAGAGTTTGGCACTCCGCCACGCCGGGTTGGTGAAAGGGAGGTTTGTAAAGGCTTCTCCGCCTTTCCGAGGGGCGCAAAAGGAGAACTATTTTTGGTAGTGAAAATCCCAGAGCGGAGGACTCCGGGGAGTGGACGTAGGTCATATTTTGACCGAACCACTATAAAAATTCTTGGTGTGTTTTTTCCTTATCGTCATTTAATTTTACTTGTATTTAATTTTCATAAATTATTGCATGGTGAAATTCGTGGAAGAAAATTTGTTTAAGTTTTGTTGTAAAATTTCAAAAATAACAAAAAGATTAGA